TTTTTTTTTTTTTTTTTTTTTTTTTTTTTTTTTTTTTTTTTTTTTTTTTTTTTTTTTTTTTTTTTTTTTTTTTTTTTTTTTTTTTTTTTTTTTTTAAATTAAATTCCAACAAAAATTACACGGAAATTCAACAGAAACTCTAACAGCTTCTTCTTGTTCTTCTTGTTCTTCATGTTTATGAATTTCAGTACAATCTCAGCACACTTCTGGCGATGGACTGAGCTGGATTCGGCCGGTTCTTCACGATTTCCCCTCGCCGGCTGCCCTTCATCGGCGTTACATAGAACCGTAGAAGTCCATTGTCGACGACGTCGTTCGTTGAAAATCTAGCACTATGATTTCTCTCCAACACGAAATCTTCTTTCTTCTTCCTAAAGAATCCGCTGCTTGTTTCCACATTGCTCTTTCTCATGCTTCCAAATGATCCGCCATTGTTGTTCTGCAAGCTCCTCCAGCTCACGCTGCTGTTGCTTCTCATCATTTTGGGGTTAAAACCCATTCCTCCGCCGATTCCTCTAACGTCGCCGTTCCGTTCGCCTCGGAATTCCGGCCATGATTCCGATAAGGATCTCGTTACGCCGTTAGTTCTAGTGCTATATCTGTCTTCGTCTTCGTATTTGTTGCTGGCTCGCCGGTGTATGAACGCCAAAATGTTCCAGCCTTTCCCCCAACGGCGGGACTTTTTCGCCTCCTTCCGGTCTACGTTTCTGAAAGGAATTTCGAAGGTCTCCGAACAGTCGTCTCTTAAGGAATTCGTGTTGGAATCTCTTAGGACTTTGTCTGGAACTACCAATTTCGGTCCGGAAAAGAAATCGGCTGTTGCTGGAGAGACTTTCGCGTTTGAGGATGATTTAATCTCGTCCATATCCGCAACGACTGCCGCTGCCGTCTTCCTTAGTGAGCTTGATCTGTCGAGGCTTCTTCTTCGGCGAGAGGAGTCGGAGTAGTAATCTCTGGTTTGTTCCGAACCACCGGGGACGGTTTCATCGTCATTGCCGGAAATTGCAGGTTCTTCGACCGGAATTTGAGTATCCGTTCGAGAAACATGAATCGGAGCATCTTCAACAACAGAGAGCATCGTCGGCATTCTGGTGAAAGTACGGCTTACTAAATAGCCATCCCAAGAAGCTCGTGGTTCATCGAAGGAGTAACGAGGATCGTCGAAGGACATTCGGCCGGCGTCGAGGGAGAATCTTGGATCGGTATCGCAGGACCGACGGCCATAGCCGTAATCGGCTATCTCCGACTGTGTTTCTCTGAATTGACGTCCGATCGGCTTCTCCACTGGCAATGTGGCGGAGCCACCGCCATTTCTGCTCTTCTTGACCTTCTGCTTGTCTCTCCATTTCTGCCATTTCTTGCTGAAAACAGAAGCGGCTGACCAGAAACTCCCGGCGATCTCCTTGAAGTCCCGACCGGAGGGTTTCTTGGGTTGGGAATCGAGATCTATGTGATCCTTTATTCTCTTGAAATCGTCTTGTACTGGTTCAATTTCCGGCCGGCTTGGTTCTTCATTCTCCTCTTCCTCCTCCTCTTCTTCTTCATCCTCTTCTTCCTGGATTTCTTGGACTCTGTCGTCGACTACATTACCGGCATCGGATTCTCCAGAAATCTCTATTTCAGGTTCAGTTTCGTCTTCTTCTTCTTCCTCCGGTTCCAAAACCGGACCACGAACAACAGACGAGGAGACCAAATTTCTAGGTTCGTCTTCAATGTGAACACCGCCGCCATTGTTAACCCGAGGAGCTTCATTCTTCAATGGCTTCCGTTCATCATCCTGTGAGAAAAGAGTCCACAGAGTATTCCGGACTCTCACGTCACATGATTTCCTCTGAGGCTCAAACACACCGGAAAATCCTTCATTCTTGGACGCCGAAAATGATTTAGTCCGACGAAGCTCAGGTAAAAAAGAAGACGGTTTATTCCAGCCAGAGGCGGCAGAAGGACCTCCACCACCAGCGGAGGGTCTGAAAATGGCCTTAAGAGCAGCAGCAGCAGCGGAGGAGTTAATCGGCGGCTTTCGAGAAGAAGAAGAAGTTGAAGAAGAAGAAGAAGGTTCGAGAACAGCAAGACGCTCGCAGAGACATGTAGGGCAGAAACCGGTGAAACGCTCTTCTGGATGACGGTCGCAGGAGGTGGAAGGGCGATGGGGTTGCAGAAGCAAAGGCGGCAGCGCCTCCGTGACTGGATTCATCTCCGGCAACAGGCGCTGGTCATGTTCCAAAATGAAGAGAGAGAGAGAGAGAGAGAAGAGAGAGAGGTTTGGTCTAACGGACAGAAAAGAAAATAAGGTTAAAACGACTGCAAATTCTAGAGAGAGAAATTCTCTGAGGGGAGAAGAAGAATGGGTGGGCCCCACATGCTGCGTGTCGCATCTTCTTTTAGCCTTGTTAAAAGAAGTGAAAATTAGTATTCTAGGGACACGCGCCGCTGTGAAATTACCATAATGCACCCTTCTTCTGTACTCCCCCCCTGCCCCCCAGCCCTACATTTTCTTGGCTCTGTTTGGCTCTTAACTTTATTTAATGAAAATCATTTCATAAAATAATAATAATAAGAACAATACTAACAATCAAATACCTTTTAACTCACATAAAATATTAACTTTCGATCAAAAATCAATACCACAATTAATATCCATACCCTCATGGTCGTTGTAGTACAAAATACGATTCCAATAGCTTCCTGGATCTGTTCTGCTCGACTTTGTCCTAATGACACACGAGACACGTTTTCACATACTTAGCTAGTACAAATACGTGTCCTATTCAACAATATAAAGGTCCTATATTTAAAACGAACGACTATGTAATGACAGAGTTCAAAACGATAATATTTGCTAACAAATAGCTTAAACTGTTACAATTCACTATTTGAAATCAAGCGACTTCTTAGTACTACGATGAACTTTATTGTATATAACAGGTATTTGAGTTTCTGCTTTGGAGCTGGAACGTTATTTCGCACTTTAGCATATTGTTCGGTTAAATTATTTATCTATTTTTATCATAATATCTTAGTTTTATTGTTTTTTTTTTTTGGTCTAAAATGCATCTCATAAATACTAAATTTATTTATTTTTATTTTTATGTTCTCACATGGCTTTCCCATTTCACCCCTTTATTTCTTTTCCTGTTTTAGGGTTTTTCCTTTTTGTTTTTATGGCTTTTCAGTCTTTTTAGCAAATTTTTTTTCTTTTTTTCTTTTTGCTTCCCAAATCCCAATTTGCATTTTGCCTGTTTTATTGTTTTGTTTTGCAATAATAAGTAAAAATTTAATCTTGAATTTTGCTTGCCCATTTCCAAAGTACAAACCCCTTTCTTTTCACTTTCCTTTATTTCCTATATTTTCTCACTTCTTATATCCTTAAAAAACAAAAAAATAAATAATTGTCGGTCATTTTTTAAATTTTAATTTTGTGTCTAATGGATTTCTAAAATTTTAATTTTGTGTCTACTCCATCAATCCGACGTATCTAAATATTTTACTGATAATTCGAGAGTTTAATGTCTTACTGAACATAAAATTCAATTTAGGTTAAATAAATTTGTCGACTTCTTTTCAAAATATTGAAAATATCAGACATTTATTAGTCATAACATAACCGACCAAAATATAGAAGTTTATGAAGTAAATAAAAAGTAATAATAGTAACATAATTCATAATAAAAACAACAATAATGTGAAATATTTTATAAAAAATAAATTTGTAAATAAAAATAATAATTACCAAATGAAAGCACACGTGCATACGTAGGAGTTACGTATGGTTCTACAAGGTGCGGTGGCAATATCAATTTTCTGAACACGAGACCTCAGATTTTGGGCCCACATTATTCATATCTACTCACTTCCATGAACCTGACCGCACCTGATTTTTACTTTTATTTTATTTTTATAGAAAAAATGAGATAAAATAGGAAGGAATGTTCGCACGTGTGGTGGATACATACGTGACACATTCATTATTGGAATATTCGTGTCATCCTTATTAATATATGACAATCTAAATAATTATTTTTAATGAAATAATTCTCGTGATAGTTACAATATATTGTTTTTTAATGAATAAATTTTAGTTCTTAATCTAAATTTTAGGAGACAAATTATTTTTTATTTTAAATATTAAAATCAGAGAGTTTAGAAGAAAATACATGAATTTTAAAATTGTTATTTCCTCTATCAAATTACTCCCTTAGTTGTGATAAATTTAATATTTTATTTAAATTCTTATCTATCGAAAATAGTTAACCAATCTAAAGTTTTGAATTAAATGGATAGGCGACTAAAACAATTCGAATAAAGATCACAATACAACCCAATTCTTTAATTTTTTTATTATTTGTAATTATTTAAAAAATTCAACCTATCATCGATACATGTTGGAAACTAAAATCTCATAATAATCAAACATTCACGAGTCATAATACATCACTAACATTGATTATAAAAATTATAATGGTCTTAATGTTCATATTAATTTTAAAGGTAGGGTAGGGATGAGTTATAATTCTAACTCGACCGAATGAATGTCAACTTACCAATTGACTTAAATAATTTATTTTTAAAAAATTCAACCTAATTTGAATCTAAAAATTTGAGTCCATCCTAATTTTTATATTTTGAATCGAATAATCTAAATGGATTAAATCTTTTCATCACATGAAGAACAAGATAAAAAGAAAAGAAATAAATAGAGAGGGGGTAGGGGAGGGGTAGCTTTTGGGCACCGCAAAGTCACGAGGAAGCAGTGGCGGTTGGGCAGTAGCGGCATCGTCCTCAGGCAATCACATGAAACAAATAAAAGAGAGAGAGAGAGAGAGAGAGAGAGAGAAAAACCTAACTTTTGTGAAGCTCAAAGGGAGAGGGGTATGATGGTAATTAACGCCGACTTCATTGATTGGGGGGTGGAAATGGCAATTATTTATTTATTTATTATTATTATTTTTAATTTTTTTTTTGGAGGGGGGGAGGGGAGTGGCTGGAATATATGAGGCGTAAAGTGTGTTAGTGTCCTCTATCTTTAACTTTTCCTTTATTAATAAAGCAAGAGTTTTTGTTCATAAAAAACAATAATGACAATAATAAATATATTATATTTTTTCTTTAAAAAGAAAAAAAGAAATAAAGAAAGGATTAAGAGTTTGTCTCTCTCTCTCTCTCTCTCTCTTTTTGTGTGTAAGTGATCTGTCTTTTAGGGTTTTTGCTTTTTAATATATATATATATATATATTTTTTTAATTTTAGGGTTGCTGGTAGGAGAATTATTGTGATGTTCCCATAAGGATATGTTTGCATGGAAATCTAGAGAGAGACTAAGAATTTGGGACCAAACCAAAATTCTTCACTTGTGGGATGGATGAGGGGTCCACATCTTACAATAATGAACTGCATTCCCATCTATGCTCCACCAAGATACAATTAGATTCTCTCTCTCTCTCTCATTCCCAATCTTGGTCTTTTGAAATTTAACAATCCCAATGATTTGGGTTTTCTTTTTTGGCAAATGTATTGATGGGGATGACAGCAATTTGAGGAGTAGGTAGAAGCTTTAAATGTATTGATTTAGTTTTAAACATTATATACCTCTCTATTTGATCAACCTGGTCTCGGGTGGTGGACTTTGGAATGGGTAAGAGCGGGTCGAGTTCATATCGTTGCGGGGCAACGGTCAGTCTATTCACTATCTTAACCCATGTCACTTAATGAACTAGAAATATAACCCTATCACAAAGTCTTAATGAAAGTATAAATCTTAACTTGATGTATAACAAATCTATAATTATAAATTAGGAAAGTCGAAGTCATACAGTAACTTACCAGATAAAGAATCAACTACCATCCAAGAAGTTGATTGTTCGATCTCTCGATTCTGTACAAGACTCCTGTACAAGATGGAATAGAAAAAAAGAATATCAATTTCTTCTCTCTATGTATTAATTACAATAGCAATGATAAAAGAAGAGTTCAAAGTTGTCTTACATGGATCGAAAAGAGTATTAAAGCAGCTTAAATCATTTCATTTTGTTTTCTCCTCCAAGGCTAATGGACAGGAAAGGAATCCTGCAAAGATTTTTCTCACACAACAATCTATTGGAATTATTATGATCCTTAAAACAAAATTAAACTGTCTACTACAAGATTTCAGTCAATCTCTGCCCAGAAAACACCAAAATTCATACATTCCTATGGATTCACACCAAGGCTGGAAAAGAAAAAAATCAGCAGCAGAGAGAGAGAGAGAGAGAGAAACCAAGGCATGGTAATCTAGCAGCCACATTTGTAAAAATTTTGTTTGACATGAAAAAGAGTTCAATTTTTATTTTTATTTTTTTCTTTTCTTTCATGTAATATATTCAAAGCCTGCAAACTGAGATTAAGAAGATAACAGAGTTGGATTTGGCAAAAGGGGGAGAGTGATTTAGCTTTGGTTTGCGTTCTTCTGTGAAGGGAACTGCAGATTCTAATGTTCAGAGTGTGTGCAGTTTTTGTCTCTCCCGTGCTGCTTTATGCAGTGAGAATGAGCTTTCTTCGTTTCTTTAGTTCTTTGTCATTTTCTCTATGGAAAAGTCACAGAGATTGGAACAGTTTCCCAGTCTTGACATAATAACCCCACACTCATAAATATATTCAGACTGCAATCTCCAAACCACATATAGTTTCACCTAACAACGATCATATGGGGTTTTCATTTTATAATCAACATTATTTTCATGATCTATGGGGATTAACTATAAGAGATAATGAATGCAAACCCCTTTTAGAGCCATCAACTAAGGAAATATATATTCTGATACAATCCAATTGATACTGAAAAGTTAAGCAACAATAAGTATATAGATTTGAAAGGAATCTACTTATTTGTTAAAGATAATAAACGTGAACTACATAAAAGGATGGCTGTAAAAGGTCCGGTTGTGTTGGAAAAAAAATGTAAAAATCTGGGAATCATGCCAACTAAAAGAAATCAAACTTGTGCTTAGATGGAGAAATCTAAAACTGGAAATGGAAATATGCCTCTTGCACACAGCTGAATCTATCAATAATTAGAGCACAAGAGATTTCACATAAGGAACACCCATGGCCTCAATGTGAATCTAGAAAAGACTGAAAATAGTAGGATGAGAATACTAGGTGACATAATCTTGGGCTTATGGAAGTTACCTTTCTGATTTATAACGAGGATAAATTGGTGGAGCACATATTACAGCGACAATCTGCGTCATAAAAATTAATGAAAGCAGCATAAACATGCGCATCCAAAGATTCCAATTTCTTTTTAAAGTTGTAATATCCGATAATGTTGTTTAATTTAATGCCTAGATTATTATTGCCCATAATTAGGCAAGGCTACCCATATTCACTCAAAAGGTGAGTCCCAAGGGAGAGTTCCAAATGTATAACTTCCTTTCCCTTGGTTATTTTTGGTGTTTATTAAGTAAAGAGAAAATGGCATTGCAAAAACAAGCCTAGCTGTGAAACAAAAGAAGGGAAAAGAAAAACCGATCATTACAAGTGAAAAATGAACACAAAAGGACAATCAAATGAAGCCCCTTTACCCCATTCCTTTGCCCCAAATTCATACAGCTCATATAAATCAGAGGCTTTTTCATTTCCCATTTTTCTTTCTGATTAAAAACAATGTATAAATGATAGGCCACTTTAACAGAGAGCCTCCACCTTGGACCCCATATACATGTGAAAATTTTCAATTCAAATTTTATAAAGGATGAGGTTTAGCGTCTACAAAATATTTGTTAATGAAGTTGTAAAAAGAAAATCTTTGAAGGCTTTAGGTTGTGTGAATGTTTTTTCCCCCTTTAAATTTAAAATGGGAAGGAATAAATTAAGGGTACACTTAACAGATTTTAATCCTATACCCAAAAAAGAGGGATTGGGTATCTCATGCTCAGACACATTCATTTTTTTCAATGCCTGGCATAATGTGAGAGAGCTTTTCCATCTTTTGGCCCATGAAGATTCGGTAAATAATAATAATAATAACAACCACGACTACAATTAAACTAGTAATCATTGATGACTGGGCCTTCAATTGATCTAACATTATAACTGATCGGAGTTTGTGTGCATGTAGAGGGGAGGGACGATAACCACTAGAAGTTTTCTTTTCAGGATATGCTTTCATGGTCCCTATTGGTCTGTTCATAGTGCCTGAAATGGTCATGATGAGATGACCCTAAATTCCAGCATTACATGAAATGGATAGACCTCTTATTGAAGGAAAGTGGCAGTTCCTCAAGGCAACTACTATGATAGGCTTATAAAAAAAAACTACATGATTATACGAGTTGAGTGAAGGAATCCCAAGAAAGAATATGGTTTTTGGCATGTTACTATGGAGAGAGAAAAGCAAAGGAATGAGCATACTAGAGATAAGTTTGTAGGCATACCTTCTTAGGGATTTGTATATATTCCAACAGGCCTTCGGTATCTGTAAGTTCTTGGAGAGCTAATTATTCACTAGCATGCCTTGAGATTCACAAAAAAGGTTATTCTTAACAATTTTTAAATCAGAAATACATGAAAATCACAACTAAGAAACGTGTTAAAAGTTAAGGGGGAGAAAAAGAATTTTTTTTCTTTTTATTTTCTGATTCAGGGGAGAAAAAGAAAAGTTGGTCTTTGCCTTTTTCTTTTTCCTTATTTTCGTTAGTTACCTCTTCACAATTCAATGTTATAAAGTTTGGAGAACAAGAACTATGCCTACAAAACATGAGAGGAAAATAAGGAATCCTACAACTAAAAAAATGAAAAGAAAAAGAAAAGCAGGCACGCAGTTCTTTTTCCTTTTCTTTTCAGGGAAGTATGGTTCCTCAAGCTAATAACGAGCCCAGTAAAACATTTGCAAGTTAGCCCCTCTTGAAAAATAATATACTATTGTTTAGAGTTCTCACCGTCGGTGTCATGCCTGGCAACAGGAAGTGGCATCTTTGGCAAAATCCCGAAGGGCTCCGACCTAAAACAAGAACTCAAGGCAAGTGCGATAAAATAAGTGGATCAAAATTTAACTGCCAAAAGCTTGAATTTCCAAAGAATTACCTTTAAATTTTTTACTGTTCGAGATAGAGTTGATCACTACCTGAAGAACGCATGGAACCAACGAGGCACAATGCGTCACTTATTCGCCATAATTAGGCGCTACTTCATAGAAAACTATTAATTCCTACCAAGATTCTTCGTCAACATTTCATCAACCTTTTCAGATAGATATCCTGCACAACTAGCAATTCATAACAGAAATATTGGTTCATTAAAGTAATTTTCGAACTAAAAGAATTAAGTTCTGAGAAATGAGAATCTTGATCTGCCCAGGCCCCTTTTACTCTCTCAGAGCCCTCTTTTTTTTTTCTTTTTTCTTTTTCTTTTTAATTATCACCAATTAGAAAGAACCTACCAATTCTTGCTCTGCCAAAACCTGACTTCGCAATTTCTCTGACGGAGAATGATTAGTAGCTTCGTCCACGTAATCAAAGTTTTGCAACCAGAGTCATTGTTAGAGGAACACGACTCTCCACAATGGTATGATATTGTCCACTTTGAGCATAAGCTCTCATGGCTTTGCTTTGGGCTTTCCCAAAAGGCCTCATGCGCCAATGGAGTTAGTATTCCTCACTTATAAACCCATGATCACACCCTAAATTAGTCGATGTGGGACTTCCATCATCCAACACCTCCCCTCGAACAAAGTGCGCCTCCCCTTAATCGAGGCTCGACTCCTTTGGAGTCTTAGTCATTTTTGACGGCCTTCGAGGAGGGGCTTAGCTCCTTTTCTTTAAGAGTTCTTTGTTCGATATTTGAGGATTTGAGGATTTACCAATCTATTGGCATGACTAAGTTTAGGGCATGGCTCTGATACCATGTTAGAGGAACACGACTCTCCACAATGGTATGATATTGTCCACTTTGAGCATAAGCTCTCATGGCTTTGCTTTGGGCTTCCCCAAAAGGCCTCATGCCAATGGAGTTAGTATTCCTCACTTATAAACCCATGATCACACCCTAAATTAGTCGATGTGGGACTTCCATCATCCAACAGAAGTCTTTTGGTGCTTCCAAGACAGTCCTGCACAGCACATTTGGAAGAGTATCTTCCCCTTACTGATGATTCACTCTTCTGTATAATAAACACCCATCAATTATGTGGCTTTTTTTTTTGTATTAAAAGTAATCAAATTCAATTATATCATGGAACTGATGAATCTGTACAATCCAGGTTGCTTGATATTCCTCTTCCCAGCTAGACTATAAGTATAACCTTCAATTTTGTAAATAAAAAAAATGCAGACTAAGAAAATTAGTTGACGCTGCCTGTGTTATGGCTTTGGGATGCTCCGCTAAGAAGGAGTTTGTTGATTAAAAAAAAAGAATCTACTTCAACCGATATGCCCGACCGTACATAAACTAAAATTCACACTTGGAAAGGGGGGCAATTAGCTAGAACAGCCAGTGCAGAAGGAAACTGATTGCTAAAAAGGGGAAATCGACCCATTAAAATTATCTTGGGGAGAGGTCTCTTTGATATCCAAAAATTTCTTAGCAACATTCTGACAAGTGGGAAATGCTGGGGTAAACTAGAAAAGTTGTCACAATGCACTTCTTCGATACTCACTTAGTGATTGTGCAACACTCACTCTCGTCCTATAGTAAGTTAGCCAACTCAAACTTGAGTGGTCGGTAGGACAAATGACTTATCTCGCAGCCTTTACTCCGTTCTTGGAAAATGAGTTTAGAGAAAGTTTTGAAAAACATTTTTTAAAAAGTAAATATTATACCCTAGCAAGCAGAAAGACATACAAGGAAACAAGATAAAAGATTTGGATGGCCAGATACTATGAAATCATTATTTTACATTGAACATTTGTATGAAAATATCTTCAGCTATGAAGAAGCCCTAAATGTTGCATATAGCTCAGACTGATTGATACTCTAGTTTGTCTAAGAAGAGAAATTCAACAGAGATTCAGGAATAGAAGTCCCAGTATACTTTACAATTCAATATCCCTATTTTGCTTGAATTCCCAAAGACTAAATTAATGTTGCGGAATCAAATTTTCACTAACCTGACATTGACAAACTGCCCGAATGTAGCTTGAATAGATCACCATTTTCAGACTTAATGCGGCACCGATACCACCTCCAGTGGCTTGCTTTTGACTTTTCACATTGCTGAAAAGCAGCTCTTCCGTTTTCCCAGAATGAACCTCATTCATTCTTGTGTGAAATTCATGCTTGCTCTAGGTCCAGAATTATAAAAAATGGAAATCTTACTGGAAGTCAGATCTCCTCCAATATCTATATCATTGCTAGCTTGACCAGAAGAGCATCCATTATAAACTGGTAGTTTTGCTGCATCTTGTCCTGTAAAGCACATTCCTCATCGGGAAAAAGATAAACAATTTTTACTGCAATGACTCGTCATAATAGTTAACTGCATACAAGTGCAATTATTTATATGCAGTCCTACTGTCGGCTGATTGAAATTGGAACCTTTAGTCTGCTTTTACCACAAGCCTTAGCTCGCAATCCAAACCAAACAAAAGATCAATATATGAGAAAACGCATTCAAATTTGACAGGGTGTACCGGTTCTTATCATGCAAAACATTGAACTCTAGACGTAATGGTGTCTGCGGACAAATCTATTTATCACAAATAGCTCAGAAGCATTTTAACAGAAATGGCATACACCATACGTCTCCCTTCTATAATCTTTCATTCTGGCTGTTTTCTATTGACTGGAAGTTTTCCTTCTACAAAACATCCACATTAAAAGAAAAATAATATCTTATTTTCCAGAAAAGGTTGATCGAGTAAGTAACAAATCAACTAAACGTATTTTTTCTGTTTCGAAGAACACAATTGCGTTCTATTAACATCATCCAGGAATCTCTTGCATGGAAGAAACATTTTGCCTAGAATGCAACTCCTGATTCAAAAGGATCGCTCTTGGTTTAGGGTGGGCAACTAGTCCTATTACACCTATATTGCACCCTAAGATAAAGCAAACTGATATTTAAGAAAAATCATTCAGATTGCTAAGATTTATCAAGGTTACAAAGCATTTCTCCTAATGGTAGAAGCTGCAAAGTAGCTTTTCACGCGAACATTGAAGCCATTCATGCCCGAGTGAATGAATTTTCAAGATAGTCTTACACCAATCAAGATTAGTCAAAAAGGGTGTGACCGTAATCTATTAGTGGAAGACATAGATCTTCTGCATTTCAGGAGAACTTGGTAGATTTAGAAACACGTTATGGGCCTGCGGTTTTCCATTGCAGAATGGCCACTGGAAGCAGACATGTATTGTAAGCATGGAGAGTAACAAAAGGATTCATTTAAAAGAGAAAATGGCTCGAAGAACATCGAAGGCATTACCAAAAAGTTTCTTGACACATGAGAACCATTAGTATTTCTATTGTCAGAAGAGTTTCCGGATAAGCTGCTGGTGCAGGACTTAACAGATCCAAGGACGTGGTCAGAAAAAAATTGAAATTCTGGAGGTAGAGGTGCATTTTCTTGATCATCAACAATCAAAGAACAGCAACTTTTCTGTTCATATCACAGAAAGAGAAAAATTGGACAGAGCAAAAAGATAGATAAGATTATATACTTATGCAGGGTACCAATAAACCACAAAACCTTGCTAACTGGAAGTGATTAAGTTGGACATGCAATCATACAGAGATCAAGTTTGGTTCTAGATCGTGAGATGATCATCTTGAATCATTATAAGAAACTTCCTGTTTGGTACACCTATGAATTGAGACTTAATAAAAGAAACTATGAAAATATTACTCTAGTAATATGATATTATTACTTCTGAAAGGCTGTATCCCATGTTCAAGGACAAGTATATTATGCACAAATGTTGGATAGTATGTCCATGTTCAATGCATGAAGTATTGATGTGAGTTGGGCGATCCGGGAAAATGTTGCTACCCTAAGAACTAACAAGACCCACAAGGACCGAATAGACCATCCAACACCTTCCATAACTCTTCCCGTCTCCCTAAACCTAATGAAACCATAAACTACAACAAACCACCACTCATGATTTTCTGCTTGCAAAACTTTACAGAATGAGAGTGGGGTCCATGCACAACCTCTACATCGGACAAGGAACAAGAATTGCGCAAATTATCTTCTTCTAAATGGATTGTTTTTTGGTTACTGCTTTAAAATTAGGGCGGTTCACTTTAATTGAAATTTAACAAAGAAAACAAAAAACAGATCAAGCTCTCATTAAATTGAAATTTGAATAAAAATTAAAATGTGTATGGATGCATGCAACATACATGCTCTGATCATGAAATCAGATAAAGACGTGAGAATGACGCATATTTATCAACTTATCCTCCACGTAGAACTTTGAAAAAAAATATTAAAAAACTAACACATATAGCAAACTTACATTTCTCTCCCACTCTATCTAAATGTATGTGTGTATGATACGCTTACTATCTACTGCATGTGCCAAGGGGTCCACAATTATATATCAACGCATCCATGTTGAACATTTCTGTTCGTGCTAGCTAGATTTTGCTTTAAAAATCATAGTCATAGAAAATTTCCACAAAAGCAGAGGGAAATCCGAAAGACCATAGATAAAACTTTTTTCATGAAGAATTTGAGCGTATTTATTCCAGAATAATAGTTACTGTCCTAAGGCGTAGAAGTAATTGAGATGTGAGTTCAAACATGCATCCAACAAGATTAACAGGTTTTCCATGCAAAGACAGTGAACTTGTCCCTAACTTAAATTGGGTCCTAGGAGATGTGGTTGTCCAGAACTTCATGTGCTTCTTCCCAGCAGTTCAAAGAGGTTTTGAATCTGATGAGAAGGAAACAGATGAGATGGCCGTCTAAGATGAACATGGTTTGAGCTTTGCTAGCAACGCCGTAGTCCGCCAAATACATATTCCCCTCGTATAAATAAAGAATAGCGAATTATTTAAGCTGGAAAAAGGAAAAGTGAACAAGTAGCAGCAGAACCGAAACCAAAGAAGAAAAAAACTAGCATCAGGGGAAAAAGCAGGGCAAGAAATACCGTACAGATGACCTTCAAGTTCTGATGCAAAGACCATGCCATCTAAATCCCACATAAATACTGTAGGTTGAGGCACTGAATGCAAAAGCAATATAGAACATGGGGTGAGGAAAATATAGTAATCGAGTCATCTGACCTTTCACCATTGCAAACTACAGATCAGAAAGCCCATGATCTAGCCTTTTGATGATTTTTATAAATTTATATGCATTGTGGTGAAGCCATCATCCCGTAGACAAATCTCTTAATATATATTCGAGGACCCACATGAATAGATGAAGAAACTGTCATGATCCAAATTTACTGAGAACGTGGACTTCATCATATAATACTGTCAATGAAATTCGGTGGTTGTTTGGCGTTGGTGCTGATTGATTACTGCTTAAGCACAAAATATAAAGTGAGTTGGTGACAGGAACGCCAAATCCCGAGGAAGCGCATCAATTATATCGAACAAGATTATATACACTGAAATTTTAAAGCAGGTAAAAATCATTTGGCTAAGTAGATCCCATTTGTCGAATAAAAAACACCATGGCAGTTATAAGTACGAACCGGAATATACGGTATCTCAAATCAATTTTATCTCAACAATCATGTCAGTTTCAGTTCGTAATACTGCAAAGACAAATGGACAATTCTGGGAAAAGAGTTCACCTCTCCAGCAGCCACGAAGCGGCCATCCTGGGAAATTGCCACACAGCTCAGAGGTCTGCACAGCCGAATAGGCACCAGGAGGTGCGATTGCGTACCAGAGTCAACATTATGCATCACCACAACGCATTCGACCAAATCGACACAGTTTACAGAATTGACGTTCGAAACAAATCCATGTTTGTTCTTTGCAGAATTCTAGTCGTATAAGCTAGGAGACATGAAACAGAACAGAATAGGAAGATTATGAATAATCGTGATAGTGGAGGATCGGAATTAATGGCCTTCAACAGAAAACTCAAATGACAAACAGTGGCGAAGAGATTGATACCTTTGAAGATGAATCTGCTTTCTTGAGCTTGTAATTCGGTTTTAGCTGTGAACAATCGGCTTCGAGAATGGCATGGAGG